ATTTACAATAGCCAACATATGGAAACAACCAAAGTGTCCTTCAGCAGATGAATGGATAAAGAAGATGTGGTACATATACACACTGGAATACTATTCAGCCATAAGAAAGAAACAAATCCTACCATTTGCAACAACATGGATGGGGCTAGAGGGTATTATGCTCAGTGAAATAAGCCAGGTGGAAAAAGACAAATGCCAAATGATTTCCCTCATTTGTGGAGTATAGCAATAGAGCAAAACTGAAGGAACAAAATAGCAATACTCAGATTCCAAGAAGGGACTAGCAGTTACCAAAGGGGAGGGGTGGGGAAGGAGGGAGGAGGGGATTGAGGAGTATTAGGATTGGCACACATGGTGTTAGGGGGGATCATGGGGAAGACAGTGTAGCACAGAGAAGACAAGCAGTGACTCTGTGGCATCTTACTCCACTGATGGACAGTGACTTCAGTGGGGTATGGGGGGGACTTAATAATATGGGTGAATGTAGTAACCACATTGTTTTCCATGTGAAATCTTCATAAGAGTGTATATTAATGATACCTTAATTTAAAAAATAGATGAAAAAAAATAAAAGAATAAAAGAAAGTCCTATCTCTATAATTCACAAGAATAATTGTAGCCCCTAGTTTCTGTCCTCAACCTTTTGTGTATTAGCACCTCCAATAAATGCAAAATCATGGCTTTCCTGAGGAGAGGTGGAATTTTCCCCTGCGGCAGAGACTTGACTCGAAAACTGTGTAATCACAAGAAAGGTTCTAAAATGAGAAGAGGTAGGTGGTGATCGCCAGGAAGACGGTGTTATTTGCCTCCAGAACTGTCATTCCCCAGGTGACACACAGAAACACATGGATTGCAGGGTCCTGCTTGTCAATCAGTAGAGAGCTATTAAAAAACAAAACTCAATCAAGTAAATCTGAAGATCTAATTGGCTTTATTAGTAATTCATGAATCTGGCAGCATGCCCTCTAGCAAGCAGAGACATGCTCTAAGTAGTTGTAAAAAATTAAGGTTTCTATAGGCAGGAAGGTGGGGCAAGAAGTTATTAGCCAAAGAAAAGAAGGGATGATTCAGGCCAGGTCACCTTCCCTTTGGGCAATGAGTGGGGGTCTTTTCATGCATATGACCTCAACTTCTTTTGGGAAGGGAGGAATGTGACAGGTGACCTCATCGGTGAAGACCAGAAATTTCTGATTGACTGTTAAAAGGTCACATTTCTGGAATAGGCTGAAACTGTAACCATGTCTTGGTTTGGGGAGCAAATATGAGTTTATTTCTTTTTTTTAACAGAGGGGAGCCAAATTGGAGTCCAGGGCAAAAGGGCAAATCAGTCACTCTTTGTAGGTATAAGTCAAGGTTTCTCAGCCTCAGCACTACTGACATTTGGGTCAGATAATGCTCTGTTGAGAGGGTGGTGCTAAGTATTGTGGCTGTTTAGAAGCATCCCTGGCTTCTACATGTAAGATGCCAGTAGGACAGTCCCCATCACCAACTCTGCAAGCTGTAACAACCAAAATGTCTCCAGGAATGGACAGTGTCCTCTTGGTAGAAGTCCCGCCCAGTTGAGAACCCCTGGTGTGAATGATATCACGTTCCATGAACTTTGCATCTCCTGACTCCCCATTGCACAAGACAAGGAAATTAAATTACTCAGCATTTTCCTCTAGTAAAGTTTTTCTCCTCTTCAGTTTCCCCACTACACCGTATTCTTCCACATTTTGTTTTTGACACATATTTCTGCCCTATGGACTGTAATGATATGCTTCTTAAGCTTTGCACATGGACTGCAAATTGGTAAGAGGGGTTGCTTCTGGAGTGAGGCATTGGGTGGCTGGGAATAGATACAGGGAGAGAGGTTTTTCAATATTTGTTTAGACACCTTTTGTCTATTATACAATGTAGAAATGTAACATTCACAACATATATTAAAGTTTAATAATTTTCTGCTATGAATTGAACACAGTGTAGATAGTATGGTTTCATTTTTGTTAAAGACAAATATAAATAATCTGTAGTAGTATACCTGTGGGGGAGGAGGAAAATCCTAAAGGAAAATACATGAAACTAAACTATGAATCCAGGGGATGAAATCAGAGAGTTTCTCACCTCCTATGCAAATATTTTTATAAGGCATAAAATTTTTAAAATAGCTTGTATATGCATAACACTTGTGATTGGATAAAACAATGGGAAGAGTAAAAGAACTATTTTCAAGGTCACTGGGGAACCCATAAAGTTTGGAAGTGAGGCAGAGGAAGAATCTTCCATGCAGCAGCTGCTGGGGGCCCCAGACACAGGAAGCAGGATCCTGGATAGGCACCCATGAGCGAATGAATGGGGGGCATGGGAAGAGAGGCATGAATTAAGAAGGTGGTATTGGAAATTGAAATAATTGGGCAGTAGCAAGAAAAGAAAGGATAGCTCTCTATCATTAGGCAGTTTATTAATTTCCCTGAGCCTCAGTTTCTTTGGCTGTAAATGGAGATAAATACAACAAATATAAAGGCTAACATTTATCATTATGTTGTTCTTATCACCATATATATAGTGTCATATATTCTTAACACCATAAATATTGATCATATTTATTCCTTACAGTAGGTATGAGTTAGGTATATTACAATCATCCCACTCTACAGATGAGTCATTTGAAGAGGTTAAATACCTTGGCCCAATATCACACAGCTAGGAAGTGGCAGAGGCAGGACTGGAACCTGGACTGGCTCTTGAGCCCCAGTTCCATAGATCAGTAGAGCTGGGACAGAGTAGGCAGAACAAATGTTAATGACTCTTATTATGTCAAAAGGCTAGGATCCCTACCCCATCAAGTTCCATATCAAAGGAGGGTGTTCCCTAAACAGAGAGCACAATGCCCTTCCCATCACATGCCAGTCTCCCTGGAAACTGCCCTGGCACTTTCCCTATCAAACACAAGACTCTCCAAGGATGTGATAGGTAGATATCCCTGTAAGGAGATGCTTGATAAGAAAGGGCCCAAGAAATGGGCATTTTTATTTAATCCTCCTTGGAAAGGGTTTTATCTGCACAGCAATAGATCCTAAGGCCAGGAATAGAAAGATGCATCAAGCCATCAAATGATATGAGCAACAATAGCTGCCGTGTATTACATGCCAGACACTGTGCTAAATGCTTTCTAGATGTGAGCTCAGATCATCCTTCCAACAACCCTATGAGGTCCTATTATTGTACCCATTCTACAGATCAGGGACCTGAGGCCCAGAAAGCAACTTAACAAAGTCCCAGAATTGGAAATTAGTCAAAGACCATATCTGAATCCAGTTCTAGCGAGAACAACCACTGTGTAACTCTTCTCGCTGAAATCCTCCTCCCCAAAGCCTCATTTGCTGCAATGGGGACTTTGTGCCCTCTTTGTATAACAAAAGGGTCCTCCTGACAGCCTCCCTGTACTAAACAGAGAGTAGGATCCCGGTGACACACCTCCCTCTACACTGAGCATGCGGGGGCTTCTCAGGAATGTTCTAGATTGCAAACAGGGACCTGGTTCTGTGGACTACACAGAAGGCAGGAGAGCTCCTTAGTCACTATCTCCCCCTGCTTCCACTGTCTCCCCAGACTCCTCTAAATGGACACTCCTGCAGTGCCAGCCCCTCCACTCTCACAGTTAGCACTCATGGCATTCATGGTAGCCAGTATTGTTGGAGTACCTGCTACTGTCAGGCATTGTTCTGGCTACTTTATCTTTATTTAATCCGGACAGAAACCATATGGGGTGGTTCATATTATTGTCCCCATTTTGCAGATGAGGAAACGGAGACACAGAAGAGTTAATGTCTGTCACATTCATTCTACTAATCGGTGATGGAACCTGGAGGAACAACATGGCCTCATAGACTTCATGATCGAACAGTCCCAGGTTCAAATGTTGACTCCTCTACAAACCACTTACGCAACGTCTGGCAGATTACCTAACCTCGCTGAACCTCAGTCCTTTCTTCAGTAGCATGGCACTTGCAAGGACTGACAGTAAGGATAAAAAGTAAGATGTGGTCTTTATTCATGCAACAAGTATTTATTAAGCATCTACTATGTGCCAAGCACTGGGAATGTATCTGCAAACAAAACAGAAAAAAAAAATCCTGCCCTTGTGGCGCACACTCTAGTAGGGCCACACGTATGTGTTAGCTCTGTTAATCCTCAATAATCAATCGGTCAGGTACTAGTCCATTTCTGTACCCGTTTCACAGACAGGGAGACGGGGGTTTCAGAAACAGCTTACTCCACCTCCCTTCATCCTTCTAGGAAATAGCAGGACTTGGGTTAGACCTTAATGTCAGTATCCAGAGTTCGACTCCTGGATTCAAACCCTGCTGCTCCCATCCAGTTCCTGTAGGCAAATTACTAATCCTGTCTGAGCCAAAATCTCCTCACGTGTAAAATGGGACCAGGAGACCCTTTCTCAAGAGATTATTCCAGCGGAAAGGACAACGTCTAACACTTAGGAAGCACTTCCTGGGGCCCCAGCACACAGAAGGCTCACAGAAACACTAGGAGGGACGTCCTATATTTAGCCCTTCTTTTACGGGTGTGGGCACTGGAGCCTAGAAAGGGTAACTTGCCGGGAGGCGCTGAGCGCGGAAACTGCAATTCCAGAGCGGGCGCTCTGAACTGCGCTGCGGCGCGGAGAAAAGCTGCCCGCACAGGGCGCCGTGGGGTGAGAGCGCTAGATAAACAGGTGCGGTGGAGGCTACGCGGGGCGGAGGGCTGGGTCACTGCTCCGGAGCTCTCCCAACGCGGGGCAGCGCGGGGCCGTCTGGGGCTGAAGCCGCCGCCTCGGGGCTTCCACTCCCCGATTCCCGCCCCGGGTGTTTCTCCCCGCTTTTCTCGAACCGTCCTCCCCCGCCACGGCTGCCATCCCTGGACACCCGCCGCCGCCCGGCCTTGGGGACTCGCCCCGCTCTTCCCCTCGATCCCCTCTCGGAGCGGGGAGGGGCTCCACCAACCCGCCCCCTCTCCGTGGATACCTGGGAGAACAGCTGCGGCGCTGGCGCCGGGCCCTGGCAAAGCCGCCTCCCCGCCCGCCGGCTTTGCTGGTCCCCTGCCCCTGGCGCTCCGGCCCAGCAGCGTCGGCTCGCCGGCAGGGCACGTCGCGTACCCTCGCCCGGGGCAACCCGCAGGCTGCGCTCCCTGGCGCAGGAGCCGGACTTCCTGCCTGGAGGGCCGAGCGCTTTCTCCTTGGAATCGAGCCAAGTTCCTGCGAGCGCTGAGTTAGTGCACCTGTTGGCATCGGCCTCTATTCACTCTCCCCGCTCTGCATTCATCCTTTCCTTCCCTCGAGCGCCCGCCACATGCCAGGGGCCCAGAGCCTAGCACAGGCTAGGGCCGAGCTCTCCAAAACGTTGGCCCCTAGCCTCACGTGGATATGGAGCATCTGAAATGGTGGCTCCAATGAAATGTGATGTTTTTAAGACACAGGACCGAAAGAGAATTTTTAAAGAACTCATTAGCAAGTTTTAAATAGATGGCATGTTAAAATGATAGTATTTTAAATATAGTTTGTTTAAATATTTTTATTAACATTAATTTTACCTATTTCTCCTTTTCTAAAATGCAGCTACTAAAAAACTTAAAATTAGGTCTCTTCTTTCACACTAATATTCGATAGTACTGGTTTTAGGCAGGAACCTGTAGGGTGTTCCCAAATACCTCTCCTGCTTCTCTGGTCCAGAATTTATTCAGCACTTACTGATTTCCTTCAGAACATCTGGGGAAGACTAAGACTTGGGCCTTAACAGGGTTCAGTTACATATAGCATCCCAGTGATGTCAACCACACCTTACTCTCTCAAGGCTGCATCCTTGAGACCAGCTCCTACTGTGGGGATGGAGAGGAGGAATCTACACTGCAAGAGCAGAGGGGAGAGGTGAGGAGACTCCTATTGCCAGGGACAGCTCCACAGTCAACCAGCAGTCACATCCTCCTAGTGATCTCCTCCAGCGACTAGATGAGAAGGGAACAGAGTGGTGAGCGAACAGATACTGTCACTGACCTCACACTGCTGACAGTCTGGTCAGGTGTGACATGTCTGTTAAATCAAATGTGCAATGACTAGAAAAAGCAACCTAAGAAATGGGGGGAAATATTTACAAATCATACATCTGATGAAGGGTTAAAATCCACAATATGTAAAGAACTCCTACAACTCAACAACAATGAAATAACCAGATTTAAAATGGGCAAAGGACTTGAATAGACATTGCTCTGGCTGCTTCCTGGTCTCCCTGTATGAGTCCTGGTCCCTCCACCTCTGTTCCCAAGCCAGCAGTCTGAGTGATGCTGCTAAAACACAATTAGATCCTGCCCCTGCTCTGCTCAAATCCCTTCAGTGGCTCCCACCTGACCCAGAGTACAAGTCAAATTCTCTACAATGATCTGTGAGGCCCTCCATGTTCTACTCCATCATCTCTCTGACCTCACCCCCCACAAGTCCCCACCTCCCTTATTCTGCTCTAGCACTTTCTTGTTCTTGTTCTAGAACACTCAGCACTTTCCTGCCTCAGGGCTTGACGTTCCCCCTGAAATATACATAACCCACTCCCTCATCTCCTTCACCTCAGACTTCTTCAGCCGTCTTCTCATCCCTCTAATGACATCTGCACCTTGCCCCAGCCTGGGTCTTTCCCTACCCTTTCCTGATTATTTTTCCCCCATGCAACACATTATAGGTGCGTGTGTGTCTTGTCTGCATCCTTCCAGTAGCATGGGAGCTTTTCAAGGGCAGGGACTTTGTCTTTACAGTTGGCAAAGCACATTCAGCCTGTTATCACATTTGGGACTACACAACCCTATGAGAGGTATAATAGTGGAGTGTCATACTCTCCCCAGACCCCAGATTTTCAGGGAGAACAGATGAAACCAGGTATGTGTCCAGCACAAATTTACAGGGTGGTTAAAAAAAAAGCAACTGGGATTCAACCATGTCTTCTGACTCCAAGTCCAGGAGTCTTTTTCCTCACGCAGAAGGCTACATGGGCAGTGATTAGATACATGAGCTGTGGAGTTTGGACAGACAAAACTGAAACCTGCCTCCAACACTCCCTAGCGGTGTGACACTGGGGAAATTGCTAGCCCTCTCTGTGTCTCCATTTTCTCAATCATCACATAGAGATAATAATAGTACCCACCTCATAGGGCTGTTCTGAAGGTTAAAGGAGATGAGATCTGGAATGTCATGATTAGGTGGTTTTAAAAAATTATTTTTAAAGATGTAAGCATTACTTGGTGTTTATTTGATTGCTTTCTTGAGTGATCCCAACTCTGCCCAAATTTCTACAGCGAACCTGAATGGGAGGGACTGGAAAGTATGATGCCATCTATTTTAATGATGGTGAAACTAAAGTTCCTAGTCACAAAAGGGATTTGACTCAGTGCTTTTGGGAAGAGAACAGCCATGAAAATTCTGTAGTAACAGGAAGGCAGGCTCCCCAGAGGCAGAGCAGAGCTGTTGTGACACCCTGGAGCACTCATTACATCTAAGGCATAATTTTATTCTGTCATCTCCTGAGAGGATGGTGTTTACAAACTGTAGGGATGCTTGAAATAAACACAAGGGTGGCCTCTGAGCCTCTGGACTGTGCTCAGCCCAAGGGCAACAATCCGCTCCTATCTGCTCACTTGCGCCTCCTTGTGGGAAGTCCTTCAGTGTGTCCAAAAGATGCGGTAACCAGACGTGCTCGCCTAGACTTAAAACCTCAGGCTAGAAGCCTGCCTGGCACTTGACATCGTGTATGACCTCATCTAACATCTCCATGAGGTGGCTTTACAAACTGAGGAGGCGGAGGGATAGTGATTGAAGCAAACAAAGGGGAACAAAACTTGCAGGAAGTCACCCCACTAGTAAGTATCAGAGCCGGAATCCAGACTTGCCTTGACTTCAGAGTTCACAAGCTTTCCCCAAAACTGCATTGTAGATTTGAAATGAGCCAAATGACCTATTTGGTGATCAAACTTTATCACGATTCCATTATTCTATCCTAGGTGGAATCACGAACTATGGAAACACCCCCCTAATCCCTAGGAAAAAACTGCCAATGGTCAAGCCATGGGGGCTGGAGACTGTCATGTAAATTGACATAACATGCGTAATTCCCCAGATAAACTGTTCAACTGATTTCTAAATCTCTGACCCACATATACTCTAGAATCCCATTTACTGAATACTAGTATAACACATCTATGAATTAAATTTAAATGGTCAAAAGAATATAAACTTAAAAATGATTACTCCTGGGGAGGGAAACAAAATAGCATATGAAGAGGGATGTTACTTTTCATTCTTTTTGTTTCTGTGTCTTTAGCAACAAGCATATTATACATATTTCTGTGAAGTTGAACAAATATTAATTTCATAAATTCAAATACCATTTAAAATTTCTTTTAAAAGGCACCATTAAACTGAAAATCCCATAGGTTATTCTAAGGGGCATCCTGAATTAAAGGTTAAAAGATTATTATCTTAAAAACTGTGACAGTGATATGTCACTGAAGAAAGAGTAACTGCTATCCTGTGGGCAAATAATACCAAAGCTAAACAATTATAAGTACTTACCATGTACAGAGGATTCGCCTGAAATCCTTTGCATATATTAATGCATTTAATGGTGACCACAGTCCTGAGAGGTAGGTACCTGTGTCAGGCAGCCTCCAAGGTGGCCATCAGTGATCCTCATCCCATGGTGTTCACACCCGTCTGTTCTCTGGATAGGGCCCATCTGTGAAACCAGTGGAATATTGTGGAAATGACAGTATGTGTCCTCCAAGGTTAAGTCACAAAACACTCTGCTGCTTCTGCCTTTTGCTCTCTCTTGATTCATCCACTCTGGGAGAAGCCAGCCGCCATGGTGGAAGGGTGCTCAAGCAGCCCTGTGGAGATGCCCACATGGGGAAGAACCAAGGCCAGAATCCAATCTAGGATCATAAATTGCATTTAGTTTCATGTATCTTTATCCTCCTCCAATCTATTCTCCTTTACCCTTCTTTAATTCTTTAATCTTTAATTTGTCCCTTTTCTTTTTCTTTTTAGTCATTTAACATATTGGCATTTTTGAAACATCCAGGCTAGTTGCCTCATAGGAACATCCCACAATTTGGATTTGCCTCTTTCCTCTTGAATGGATTCAGTTAACAAGTGAAGTTGTGTCACACTAGGTTTACCCCATTGGTGTTGTTGACTTAGATCTCTTCTTTCGGTGCCCACAGGTTTCTTTAATGTGCAAGTACTGTTTGTTTCATGCTGATCATCACAAACTGCTCTGGTATTTGACTTCTTTGAAATAGCAAAGATTTGGTAAATCCAAATCTTGACCCTGAGAAAGAAGCCTAAAGGAGAATCATAAATGTTAACAAATGGAATATAATTTACAGATATAACCAGCATGTTAGCAAGTCAAAATATTCCAAACTTGGTGCTTTAAAATTCCCAAACTCACACCTCAGCAAGGCAAACAAACTTAACATCACCAATAGCAGGACAATCTGACATCATGTGCCTCCTACTGTGATGAAATAGGAAGTATACAAAGCAATGAGATTTCTCCAGCAAACTTTGAGAACTACTTAGGGTCACCAGTTTTTTGTTTTTTACATGGCCAATATTAGGAAAAATTACATAAAGAGAAGAAAAAACATTACCATTGACTAACACAAACATTTAGTGAAAAGAATTTAGTATATTTACCAAGCATTTATATACCCCTTACCAAGGGCTAAGGCACTGTTCTTAATGCTTAAGATGATCTCATTAAACCATTCCAACAACCTTAAGAGCTGGGCTTAGACTAGGGTGCAGGGAGAGGAGTAATGTGAATGGCTGGAGACTCTAGCTTTCAAGTACCAATCCTGCATTTGCAAAACCCTGAGTGTCTCTTTAAATGTTGCACCCAGGTACCTGCCTGATTTACTTTAGTCCCAGCCCCATTAGCAATAGATACTGTTATTAGAGTCATTTGACAGATGAGAAAACACAAGCACAGTGAGGGTTAGCAACTTGCCTCAGATCACACAGCCAACAAGTGGCAGAACCAGCTATGAACCCATTGTCAGAAAATCCAATCCAGGGAGATCATCCTGCACACTAGGTGAGACCTCAATCTGGGAGATGGTTCTTGACTCTGATCAAGAAAGAA